AAGGAAACGTAATTGTCTAATCCTCACCTTAAGTCAGAATGTCTTCAATACATTTGGAAATGTACTGTTTTATTATTCCATTTATGGGGTGTGCGATAGACTAACCTCAAAGTGGTGCACCCTGTGCAACGTATACTCATACGGCAAAAAAGTCTATTGACTGGCAGTTGACTTCTGACTTCAAACTACCATCACCTCACTCGATGCCATATCAGAATATTCACAGTACTCACCTCACCTTTTTTTCTACCTTTTTATCTGTCTCCTTTACATCTTTGAAACACTCTTCTCTTCCCTCCCCCCCCTCTTTTTTTCACTTTAATGTTCCTTCCCCTCTGTAAAGCCTGAATTTCAATTTGATGTTCCTTCCCCTCTGTGAATCCCGAAGTCTTTTTCACTTTGATGTACTTTCCTCTCTGTGAAGGCTGAAGTCAACTAAAAGGCTAATGATAACTTTCACAACGCCTGCCATTTGATATAACAATAAATTATTCAATTTATTCAATGAGATTTTGGATTTAAGTGGTCCAACAAAATTTTTCAAATTATAAACCAAGGTATTGTCATCTCTTAAACAATCTTCCTTAAAGCTGATAATAACTTTGAGCACAATAGAAAAAAAATAATTTCTTTTCTTTAGTTTAAACATATCTTTATCCCTCCAAAATTTTTGTGATAATCTAATTAAAGCAAAGTTGGAAAAACAGGATACTTCTTTTTCATTAATGCTCATTTAACATTTTCTATATGAGATTTAATTGCAGTATTATACAACTGGGAACAACTTTTTACAATATTGAATGGGTAAATAGATAATTTTGTATGATTTTATATGAGAAGCGCAACCAAAAATATCCCCATTTCTATTGGCTGCTCCTTAAGCTAACATCGCACTTGCGCAACCAATCAAATCATTGGACTCTTTTGATTGGTTACCGCTCCCGTTTAAGCACTAAGCCTTAACTTATAAGGTAAAAAAAGCTTTGATTATCTATTCTTGTTACTGTTTCTCATTGCAAATGACCAATCCTGCACTTAAAGTTAAATCAAACGGAAAATCCTCTTATCGAAGAAGCAAGAAAAGGGAAATGGAAAGGGAGATCAAGAGATTGCGGAATATTATACCTGGTTTAAGGAATCGCAGGGACATTGATGAAGTAAGTTTACTTGATTTTCAATCCTGCTCTATTTTATTTACCTTCTTTGCTATTTGCAACTTTGTGCCAACTAGGATCTTGAGCAAAAAGAAAACCTTAATCACAAATGAAGCGTTGCTTGCTAATTATAAGTGTTTTATCGACCTTCTTAGCTTACCTAAAGTCAAATGATTCTTCTCAAATACGGAAGATTTTAGGCGGATTAAGGTCTCTTACTTGTTATTTTAATTTCGCTGCTTCAGTATTTTTTATTTGCATGGTAGCTAGAAACCTCACTTCTGAGCTACTTGATAGTTTTCATTGCAGTAATCCGTTGGTTAACAATTAACTTTATTGATTTTCAGGCTGATGTGATTTACGCAAGCATAGCATACATGAATCAACTTGAAATCGCCCTAGTGAATCGGAAGTGCGACGGTGACTTCTCACAAATCGGTAAGTTCTTTAACACGACACCTTTTTTCGCCCACCATCTGCCTCCACAAAAATTTATTAACTGTCGCAACTTGCACATGCCTTAGAAACATGTAAAAATTGTCGCCTGGGGGATCAGTTACCAAGACGATAGCTGACCCTTTACACGGTCCAGCTGGATATAATGAATTCACACCATGTTCTGCAAATCCACACCCTCCCTTAACCCCCCCCCCACTCCTTAAGACGAAATATGCAGATGTCTGTTTAATTGAGGGCACGCGGGGAGGAGAGGTTGCCCATGTCCATTTCAAGTTCAAATCAAGTTAATTAGCTTTTCCACGTTTATGTCCTAGATTCAAGGTCATGTTTGTACAACCGTGGCTTCTAAACCTCCAAAATTTAAAGAGAATGAGCATGAGCGAACCACAACTGTTTGCAAACCTTTGTATTGATTCATTTGTTGACTGCGAAATTTTTGCTATATGAAATATTGAAGAAAACAAATGTTAATTCCACCTTTAATTCAACCCTTCTAGACCACTTGGTAGGCAAACCTGTCCCCCGAAATCTCCTTCAAATTTCCTCGAGAGGTGAGACGCTAATTATTCCACCAGTCCAAAGTTCTGAGGTATCGCCTTGTTTAACATCAGATGATGAAAGCAGGAATTGAAGGTTCTTATTTATTTTTTTGTATTTACAGACGTCTTTCTTGTCATAGAATATATAATCTTCCATTTTTGTCATATTTTTATCTTTAATTTGGGCCATAACTTCGATGAAAAAGGAATGAATTTTCATTATAAATTGCGACATAAAATTTACAATGAAAACAAGTTGGCGTTGATATTTTAATTGCGCTAACTGTTACTCAATTGTAATTGTGCATTACTGCAATTTCACCTGAATAAACGATGACATTTACTTAAAAGATGGAAGATTTTGCTTTTGAAAAGTCATCCCTGTTTACATCTGCCGGATTGGAGGTAGCAGTTTCAACAGTGCATCAGTACAGGTCCATCAAAGGTTGCTTGGAATGTGGTGAGAGAAAATTATCCACTTGGCGAATATTTCGAACCATAGCCACCTTTTGTGGGGATTCACTCTTAAGACTTTAGGTTCTTTTAAAATTGAAACGAAAACCAATTACTGAGGAATATTCTAAACTACTTTCACATGGCAATAAATTGCTCGCTAAATTGAAAGTAACTCGATAATTAAAAATTGTGCCACAGGGGAAGTCAACCAGGCCATATTTTGCCATCTATTGATTAAAATTCCTTCTCTACTAGGTCGAAGACTAAGCGTTCCAAAACGATTAAATGGAGTTTACAGTGGATGAAAAGTGCAAATAAGTGTCTGTGGTTTACTGGATCAACTGCGCATTCGTTAAGATCACAAGATCAATTGTTGAGGGCATATCCAATGGTGTTGGTCATTAATTCGGGGTTAGTAAGGAAAGAGATGAAATGTGAATGTTTCATTTGCACAATTACTTCGAAATTACAGTTTCTAATAAGCATTAAATCGAAGCAAACGTGTAGGCAAATGAAGTAATTAGTCAACAGATTCTAATGAAAAAAACAGACGCTTTAAAAGGACAACTCATTTCCCGTCAGTGAAATGAATCGTTATAGCTCAAAGACGTTAACAGTTGGGTCAGGAGTGTACGATGGACTTACCTGGGCACCCTGGGCAACGTATACTCATACGGCAAAAGTCTATTAACTGGCAGTTGACTTCTCACTTCAAGCTACCATCACCCCACTGTATGTCATATTCGACCACTTTCACGATACTCACCTCACCTTTTTTCTAACCTCATCCTTGAAACGCTCTTCTGTTCCCCCCTCCCGACTTTCTCACACTTTGATGTTCCTTCAACTCTGAGTAGCCTGAAGTCAACTAAAGGGCTAATGATAACTATCAAAACGCCTGCCATCTGTTATAAATATTAATAAATATTTGGGCCAGTTGATAGAAGTGAAGCATGCATCATAAAAGCCTATATAGACATCGGATAAGCAAAATTACAGTCTAATGCTATTGCATGAGTAACTGTGAATGAAATAAGCCTTTTTTAGTAAAGCCAATGTTTAAGGCCCAACATCGGTTCAATAAGCGAAAACTCTCCCCATCGCGACCGTAACTCAAGCGAACTATTTGCATTTCAGGACTAAACTTTCCCGACTTTCATCCCTCTCTCTCCTAGAGTTCAGCAACAAATCTTGCTAAATATGACTACTTCCAGAAATGAGACTGCCTGACTTATTGCGATAATTACCCGAAGAATGTCAAAATGAAACACC